ATCTCTCTCTCTCTCTCTCTCTCTCTCTCTCTCTCTCTCTCTCTCTCTCTCTCTCTCTCTCTCTCTCTCTCTGTGGGTGTGTGACGCGATGCTGTAGTCTGATAAGCAGATCGCGCGGCAGCGCTATCGCGTGAAACCAAGCAAGACGGAGGGTGATGGAATTGGGCGCTCGAGAAAAAGAAAAAAAAAGAGAGACGGTTTCTTTCCGCTGCGGAACCCATTTTGACGAATGATGATGATGACCTGAGGCGCTCTCGAAAAAGAGAAAAAAAGAAGAAAAGGGCAAAAGAATTGTGCCGCTCACCGCGCATAAATTGCCAGGATGGAGTGGCGCAAACGACGACTTGTCTCGCAGCTCGCGGTAGGAATTACTGAAGGGGATAATTATCAGATCACCAGAAAGGCTAAGTATAAAGGACTTCAACCTGCAGCTCTCCTTCCGTCTTCTCCCAAACGCAAGGGCACGTTGTCGACACAGTCATTGTGAGATCACGTTCTGTTCGGGGGAAAAAGGGAAGTTGAGAGTCCGAGGCTAACAGGGTGGATGAGTAATTTGGTTGATCAATTAGTCGATTGGTTAACTGATTGATTCATTAATTGATTAACAGATTGATTAATTGATTGATTAATTTGATTAATTGATACTTATTGATGATTGATTGATTGATTGATTGATTGGTTTGATTGATTGATTGATTGATTGATTGATTGATTGATTGATTGATTGATTGATTGATTGGTTTGATTGATTGATTGATTGATTGATTGATTGATTGATTGATTGTTGATCGACTGTCGACAGCATATGATTTACCGATCGACTTTCGGGTGGATTCAATTGGAAAGAGGATACGATGAGATGGTACTTGGTTCGGGGGGCCATCTGAAAAAGACAGTCCCGAATGATGGACGTTTTTAATGCTGAAGCTCTCGGTGTTCTGAGCCGGCGGCTCATTGATTGGTTAATCTTTTGCTTTTGATTGGTATTCAGTGTGTTTGAGAAGGATGGACAAGTGCATCATCTCTTTTCATGTGTGTTGGGCTTGATCGACCCTTGATTGGAGTGGTAATCAGTGTCTTCTATTTCTTCAATGTTTGGGATCGATGCATGTGTTAAACTGGCTGAGCACCGCTCATTCTGGGACTATGGTGGCTGCACGTGTGAGTTATTGACGTCATGTTATATTGATGGTGTAGGCGTGACGTGTCTTTGGGTTTGCAAGTCATTGGTAGGGTTAATGGTTTAAGGGGTTTAGGGTTTAGGGGGTTTAGGGTTTAGAGGGGTTAGGACCTTGGCGGTTTAAGAGGAGGGTAGGGTTTAGAGGGGTTTAGGGTCTAGGCGGTCTAGGGGGTTTAGGGGGGTTAGGGGGG